AGCATGACGATGGCAGTGGCGCATTCTTTCAGCTGTCAATCACGTAAAATTAACCGAGGTTTCTACAATTCACAAATCAGCGCTCAGCATGCAACGTGCCTGCCAAACGGGGCCACTAATTAAACATTTAGGTAATCTATTATATTGGCAGAGAGCAGTATTAGTGGCATGCAGGAACGCGATACGAACGGATCGCGTCGGTCTCGCTCAAGAAAATCGGTCCTTTATTGGCACAATCTGATTGACTGAGTAGCGAGGAGAAACTCGGGAGCGTTTATATGCACGACTCAAGCAGCCTTTCTTGCTCCTTCAAGTTACGTTCGGGTCCGTGCAACTGCAGCCGGACCACTATACGAATGGGTAGAGACTGGCGTACCCAGGGGCGGATGCAGGAATTTCCTGAGGGGGGGGGGGGGGGGGGGGGGGGGGTCAGGTGTTGGTTTGTACCATATTTATAGGAACCCCCTCCCCCTTTCCTTCGTTTTAAAGGAGCGATGCAACAATTTTTGTACTGTGCACAAATACCGCTTAAAACGGATCCCTAACGTTAATGACCTATAAAACACGCGTTCGTTTTTCACCCCACGCAATAGAAGTCCCAGAAAAAAAATTAAAGAAAAACGAGCAGCGTTTACCTCCTCAACTCGCAGCCAGAACAAGCGGCCACGTGATCTGGAGCCGATTATATGCCGCCAATGTTGATCATAGCCACGCGCTGGGGTTGGCAAAGCACAGGGCACGCGCTGAGTTCCAGAGATTGTTATGGCTCGGCTGTTGTCGTCGTTGCAGCGATTGGGCACGGGTCACAATCCGAATGCTTCTCGAGCTAGTAATTATCACGAGCCCAAGTCGAGTGCCCACGCAATGCTCGGGTCCAATCTATGAACCGCATTCAAATATCGTCACTTGGGTGTACTGCGATCCCCGAGTTACGTCATCAAATTTTGCAAAGGAGAGATTGAGTGAAAATGATCGCTTTTGTCCTTGAAATTACACCGCAACAAAGGAGTTTCTTGGCCAATGGTGTTGCGTGTGAGTATCCTTGAGTCCCAGGTGTGCCAGTAAGCTCGTGTAGAGAGAAAAACATTCCAATTGAATATCGTTGCACAGCTCCTTTAAGCCCTAAAATTTACACAAGCAGAAATCAAGAGGGGGGTCAGGACATCCAGACCCCCCCTCTAAATCCGCCCCTGGGCGCACCTGATCCTTCTCACTTTGGTGCGCCATGCTCACGGCCAGTAGCTACGTTTACAAGGATGCGACCATAAAGCGCATCCATAGAAATACGAGCTCCAACCATCCCTGTACTCGATCATATACATGGCTTGCACCGCGTCATCGCGATATGCTGGTGGCCATTTTTACTCGTCCTTGCCGGGAAAAGAAATTCGATGTTGTAAAATGTGTGCTCCAGAAGGTGGGCCCTCAGCAACAAGCCCACCACAATGGCCGCCCTTGTGACGTCAGTGCAAGTCATGTATTGTTTACGATCGATAGTTTAGGCGAATGATTTGTTTTTTATGACTATGCTTACATACTTGAGACTCTCAGCTTACAAACGCTATCCATTCGTATAGAGTTGAGCGAGATATTTTAAGAATTATTCGCGGGCCAACGGATGACAGCGTCTTCTGCTAGCTTACACGTGCGTTCCAGCACAGACGCTCCTCTTTGTTTTATCCCTCAGGAGAAAAAGTGTCCGATCAACGGCAGCATACAAACGTCGTTCAATGCAACCATACGCCATTAGATGCGTTTACAGATTATGTCTATTTTAAACGTCTACTTGAAACTTTGATTTACTCATCGTAATCATGTGTCTGTGTGTGTGTGTGTACGTGTGTGTGTACGTGTACGTTGTGGTGATCACGAAAGTAGCTTACGTAAAGACTTGAGTGATTTTGGGTCGTTCTAAAGTAGGGGACTAATAAAGCATTATTATACTCGGCAATGCATATCTAGATTGTACGCGCAAGAATTGCATCCATTGATCTCCAACCGAATCGACACTAGTAATAGTCAGGATAACGAATGCCGCGGCGAGCATCTCACTATCGTTCTAACGAAACCCGCACAACGAAGCAACAAGTGCGACCACAACGCCGTGCGTAGTCACTGCCAGACGAAGAGAACGCCGTTGCGATGACACTCTATCGGGTCCAAGTTGTAAACAAGTTGCCTCCCCAGCGACCACGCAGACGAAAACACAGCAAGCGGATGTAACGGAACGACAGGCCCGAAGAAAAACACGCTACAAGGTCGGACACGATAAGGCCGTCCAGGCCCGTGATAATGACCCGTGCTGGTATACTACACGCACCACCGACGCGTATTAACCCCAAGCCGAGGTATCGGGTCGCCCTCGAAAGAAGCGCGGGCCACCCGCCTGGAATGGCCCCGTCATCGCTCCTGGCACAAGATGGTCGTGCCGAGACTCGGCGACGACGAAAGAAAACCTCGCAGACGAACGTTCGTCGTGCAACGCGATCGATCAAACATGGCCACTTTCTGTGGAATCAGAGTCAAAGAAAAAGCGCTTGACCTGTTCGTATCTTTGTTCTGTCCTTGTCGTTTGCGCTTTTGTATTTAAGATGTTTACCCAATTAGCCCAACTGTTGATATTAATTTAGGAAAAATAAATATTTACTTATTCTCTGTCTGGTTTTCCAGCTGAGATGAAAACTAAACAAAACTCCCAGTAATTCGTGTCACAGTTACGTGACATCACAGGAGAACCTCTTTCGGTTTGCCATAGTGCGCATGTGCGGTGCCCACCATGGAATAGATGTATCGGATGGATGAACGGATGGATAGGTCAAATCCTTCGAACGGGGCGGCGACTTGCACCACCACATCAACAACAGAGCATCGTTGCAACGCGCGGTGTCACGAAAAATGGCTATCGTACAGGTAGGGTTGTTGCTTGTATTCGGCTCTTAATTCTCTTCCAGGTGTTCCAATGTGATACTGGTCGGATTTCGTCGTCTGTGAAGGTTACCTGACTTATTAGTTACCACTCGCTACACCTGACAGCGGTAGCGAATTTGACGATATTCTGGTCGCTGCCACTTCTTGCAGAGACAAGTCAGTTTATTTTTTTTTAGATACTGTCAATAGTTTATTCGATGCCGCAGCTGTTCCCTTTCACTTCTCAGGTTCCAAGGTTTCATCCGCTTACAGAACGTACTACCGTAAATTATTATCTATCAAATACGACTGTCGTCAGACGCTGAATCCCTGCGCAGTTACAGATCCGCACACGTTAGAGGTAGGCCAACAATTGGTTAGCGCACAGGCGACGGTAGCCAGCAAATCAAGTTCTGTTCCTGTTCCCCGGTAGCCATAGTGGCGTGGACAACCCTCCGTACGTGGAAAGACCTCCGAAGTCTGTTTCGGTTTCACTGCCGTCGCGCGCACCTCGGTCGGGCTGACGTACCCCACAGAGAACACGTCCGATACATTAACGAGTGCATTTAAGAGAACAGAAAAGCTGTGAACGGCGACTCACCCAACAAACGATGGCTGTGCAGCGATGTATCCTCACGGCAAGCAGCCGCTCAGCGCGGTTTTTCGCCACGCCGATGCGACCCGACAACTTCTTTCTGGCCAACCAGTTCTGTGGTCTGCTCTGCTGGCGATCCTCTCGTTGCCCCTCTCCGCCATCGTTCCTCCTTTCTTCTTTAGATTAACTTTTCTTTTTTTTCTTTTTATTACCTTCGCTCCCGGTGCTTTTGTTTTGTTTGTGGAGCATTGTTTCGCGCCGCAAGCAGCGTGGCAGGTTTGGACGGGGTTGCCTACCTGTCCGCTTGCAGTCCGCACCGGTGGAGACCGTGCACCAGAAGTGCTGCGTAGCAGACGATCGAGAGGATGGCGTTGGGATGGCCCCGAAGGACGGCCCGAAGCGCTTGCGCTCAGGTTCGGACGGCGCGGACGAAAATGACGTCATCTGCCGATAATGAACTCGCCACTTTCTTGTGCTCCAGGGAGGATTTGGTGCGCGTCATTGGCATATGTGCACACGCGGCAGAGAGCACGCAAAATGTGAATGAGAGTTAATAATATATTTAGAGATATACTGGGTGTCCGCGAGAAGATCGAACCCTGTTTTTCGCAACACAAAAATAAACTTGACATGACGGAGAGATCGAACTCCGTCAGAATGTAGCCCAGGTCATTCGAGCAGGGTGGCAAAGTTTCAGCGCCAATTGTTATCTTATTCGAAAGCTATAAGTGATTTTCTAAAAATTTCAGTGAGAAAATGGAGCCCATTTTCGCCCGTTTTTGATTTCTGGCGCCATAGCGCACCATGTGCGCGCCATTTTTCTATTGAAAGTTTCAGAAAATCGCTTATAACTTTTAATAAAAACAAGTTAGACAACGGTTGGTGCTGAAACTTTAGCATCTTGCTCGTACGGCTAGGGCTACGTTATGTCGGAGTTTGAGCTTTCCGCGATGTCTACTTTAGTTTTGCGAAGCGAAAAGCAGGGTTCGGTTTGCTCGCGGACGTTCGGAACAGCACAGTTACACGAGGTCCTCTCGGGCGTGTTGATAATAGCTTGAATAACATCCAGCGTATTAAAAGAAAAGGCTCGTGGACTTGTTATCTCTGCGTTGAACGGGATGTGTAAAAATATCCTATTAAACTCGCACAGCTAAAATCATTGCTTGGCCAGAGGTTGATCAGACGAAAACAAACCTCTCACACACACTTTTTTTTTTTTTTTTTTGCACTGTGTAGCCCTTTATTCTAAGACGCGGTATGCTATTTTTTTGCCTACTTCTTTAAAGAGCCGTCTGGCAATCACTCCCACTGCCTGGCAATACCTGTAGAAATATAAAATGAAAAGAAATTGGCATAAAAGAAGAAAGAAGGGAAATAGCAGCCATATTTTTAATTTTAGGCCAGATGGCGCAAGCTACCGCCCATTATCAACGGAAAAACCGTTACCACCTATTTATCTTTTGTTTGTGGTGGTGTCATGTAGTGTCACCTAGTTGATAAAAGTGCAATCACAACAACAACGTAAGTGAACTCATTTAAAATACTATTACTGTTTTATTGCGTAGATAATATTTTAGCATAATATACTGCTCTATATTTTTTTTAATAATTATTGCTGCAGTTTTTACGAAACGTTTAGCCAAATCAAGACACTTTTCGGTATGGGATAAACACTAAACACACCAAACACCACATTGGGCGATTCAAAGATGGCGGAAACGACAGACGACGCGGATGCTAACGAAAGTCCCGCAACGTGCGAAATCGCCGCTTCTGGCGACCAGAACAAGGATGAAACAGCATCTCTGGCTACGACGAATGTTTCCACGAGCAAAAGACCCAAGTCTAAAAAGAAGATTCCGGGCGTCGTCTACCTAAGCTACATCCCTCCCAAGATGAACGTGAAGACGGTGCGCAGCTTGCTCTCTAAGTTCGGAGAACTGGGACGGATATTCCTGCAGCCCGAAAAACCCAACGCCAAAAAGGCTCGTAGTTTCACCGAGGGCTGGGTCGAGTTCGCGGACAAAAAGGTTGCCAAGTGCGTCGCCAATGCTCTCAACGGCACCCAAGTGGGCGGCAAGCGGAGGGCCGACTACTACTACAGCCTGTGGAGCATCAAATACCTGCATCGGTTTCGTTGGACGCACCTCAATGAGAGACTGGCGTACGAGAAGGCGGTGAGGGAACAGCGACTCCGCACGGAAATCGCACAGGCCAAGAGGGAGTCCAACTTCTACATCGCCTCGGTGGAGAAGAGCAAGCGGATGCGGCGCGAAGCGAAAGGAAAGTCGGACCAGGCAGAGCCCGAAGAAGCGTCGATAGACATCAGACAGAGGCCCACGGACCAACAAATTGTCGCCAAACGTGCGCGGAAAGGCAACGCCGAACGGACTGGGAACTCGGGGGCCGATCTGAGCCTGCTCAAAAACATTTTCGTGAGCTCCGCTTCGTACGAAGACGACAGAGAATACTGACTCGCCTTCGCTGTGTAAACAGAAAAAAAGAAAAGAAATTGGGTTATACATTTGAATTTTATTCTTACATGGCATAGTAGTCAAGGGTGTATGGCGCGTGTGTTGCCTCAATGGGCGTCTGGTCAGTCTTCAGTTGTACACGGGAAATTTAGCGAGTGCAGTAGAACTGCTCACGACTCAAAACGGGCAGGGGTGGCAGGGATGGGGATGTTCGGCCAAAAAACTAGCATTCAATAAAAAAAAAAAAAAAAAAAAAATATATATATATATAGATGTATAATAATAATCGAAACAGGAGCATTTGATTTGAACGTGTTCAACAAATCCAACTACTTTTTTTTATTTTTTTTTTATATGCGGCTTGATATGGCTTGAGCCGACTTCTTAGCGGCTTATACCAAGCCGACTAGACTCGCGACGGGGACTTTGGGAAATGTTGAGGTGCTAGGCAGATCTCCGAGGCCTCCCGAGGACTTGCTAGAGGTCATACGGGCTTTCTCCACCAGCCAAAAGTGGCAAGACCTTGACAATGGTGTACCTGCCACCCCCTGCCTTGCGCTGGCTCGACCTGCCGAACAAGTGGCGGCTCGAGAGGGAAGAGAAGGGCATCAAACCGTTCAGCTACTACCGCACCCCGGCCGATCAAGAGGGGCTGGAAAAGATGTGCTTCTTCACGTACAAGTGCACCAAGTTGGGTGAGTACGTGGCCCGTGGTCTGGCTGCTCGTCGGAAACCGCACCCCGTGATCGTAAATACCCCATAGTCCATAGTTTGAGTGGAGATACGATCTCCGCACTTTGATCTGAATGAACGTCTTCAGCATGAAAACCTCACGCATGACCAGCCTGCTCACGCGTGTCCTTTGGCTGTTCGGCCTCGTGCGCGAAGCTTGTAAAATGTGACTCTCTCATTTGTGTGGTCTCCTTCTCTTGTAGGCATTGTGTTGGGAGTCGGTGACGCTATTGCCGTAAGCCATGCGAGCGGCTTGGTGCCCGTGCTTGGCCGCGTTGGATATTGGACGCTACCAATCGGTAAGTGTGGAGCTCTGCCGCCCGAGTGGGCTTTTTGAAATTACGCTCGAAGGGACCAAGTTTCAGGCCTCGTTTTTGGTTTTCTCATTCACGAATAATTAGTCAGCACAGCTTTCTCAGACTTCCCTGGCAGTCAGAAGAGGCACCATTCACCGCTGCTCAGAGTGTGGTCAACTGAAGTAAGCGAATGGTGTTGGAGGCGCCACTAATCCTTTTAATTCCAGCTGCTTCCACCTCTGCTCAGCCGATCTACGGATCTTTTGCTGCTCTTCCATATAAAAGCAGGATGCGCGTGTAAATAATTGGCATTAGATTTTCTGAAGTACATCCTGTTCTGAATCACAGAACAGGGTGTACAGTCGGGGACAAAAGTCTCCAGGACACGCGAGCTGCGACTGAAACGCATTGTTCTGCCATCTGCCGGCGGGTCGCCTGGTTTCGAGATGCGTGCCAACATGTGCGTGCCAACATGTGCGCCTTCCCGCTCTTCTGCGGCGCGGCGCCTAACTCGGAATCGGGCGCGGGGTACCGCCTCGGAGATAGCGCTTACTGACATGGCACCTATAAAACAAGAAGTCACGGCAGCTCAACTGATGGCGATAAAATCAACTGGTTATAAAGCAAGGTGCGCTCGCACGGCGAAATGCGGCGCAATGCCCCAGGCGGTATCTCGTGTTTCGGAATGTGTAGCAGACGCTCGTAAGCTGCCAGCGCTATCTCCGAGGCAGTACCACGCGCCCGATTCCGAGCTGGGCGCTGTGCTGCAGAAGAGCGGGAAAACACATGTTTGCAGACAGAGTAGGACGCGCATGCGCTTTTGTGTGATCTCGAAACCAGGCGACCCGCTGGCAGATGGCAGAGCAATGCGTTTTAGCCGCAGCTCGCGTGTCCTGGAGACTTTTGTCCCCGACTGTACATGACTCAGTGTCCTCCATCCGCACAGCCCAGAACCCTGGGCCAGACCAAGTGCATCCTGCATTTTTCAAGCTCTCTGCCCCTGTAATCAAGCCTATCCTGACCATGATGTTCCAGCGACTCCTGGATTCCGGCACTGTTCCGTCGGCCTGGAAGAGGTCCATTATAACACCTGTTCACAAGGGAGGTGGACTTGACACGGACACCACGGACTCCTATCGCCCCATCGCATCAACCTCAATAGTGTGCCTTAAAAGAATAATCAATAAGAAAATCTTGGACCACATGGAGGGCAATGGACTGTTCAGCCCTGCACAGCATGGCTTCCGACGAAGGCACAGCTGCGAGACCGCCCTGGCCGTGGCTGTCCATACACTTAGCACGTATCTTGATCAGCAAACTCCCTGCAAGTTAGTCCAGTTGGACTTCTCCAAAGCATTCGACCGGATTGACCATGCGCTTCTTCCCCAAAAGATAGAGAAGGTTGGCATTGAGGGCACCCTGGCCAACTGGCTGATGAACTTCGTCAGTGGCCGGACCCAACGAGTGGCCTTCCATGGCCACCTCTCGCCGCCCTGCACTGTGCTTGCCGGCGTTCCACAGGGCAGCGTATTGGGACCAACGCTGTTCTCCATTTATGTGAATGACATCACTGATGGCATGCAATCCAAAGCCATATTATATGCCGATGACCTCACGCTCATACAGCCCCTGAACTCACCTGACACATTTACCTCCCTACAGAGTGACCTCAACGCCTGTCTCCACTGGTCTACGATCCACAAGCTGCCGATAAACCTCAAAAAAAGCCAAAGCATGACGATCAGCGTGTCCTCATATAACAGATCACTTACTTGCAGTCTTACACTTGGTGACATCTCCCTACCCAACGTCAGCCACAGCAAAATTCTCGGAGTTACATTCGATCAGAACCTAAATTTCAGTAGACACGTGCACGAGACCACCTCCCGTGCAAGGCGCACATTGGGATTCATTACTCACATCACCTGCGGCATGCCGGCGGCATCACTTAGAGATCTATACACGGCTCTGGTGCTCCCTCAACTCGAGTTTTGTTCAGCTATATGGGATCCCCCCTCAACTGCTCTGAAGAGCTCCCTTGAGGGTATCCAGCGGAGAGCAACCCTCACGCTCTACAGACGTGTGTTCCCATCATCGTGCCACACGGCCTCGAGGGACCTCCCCACTGCAAGACTCCTACAGCACGCCAAGTGGCAGAGCCTACAACACCGTAGGGGGGCCTCTTTATGGGCACTGGTCCGCCTGAGGTCCCCTTTCCACTGCGCCTCAACAAACGCACTGGCAGGCTGCAGCCCCCTCTATCGCGGACCCTGCGCCACAGCAAGTCGTGGCTCATACGTGCTACAACTCTCTGGAGGTCACTCCCCTCAAAGATGACAGAAACTTTCCCATACCACCGTGATGACATTCGGGAGCTGCGCAGAGCAATCGCGTCCCCCATATAAGCTTGTGTGTGTACTTATATGTCCTCTTTAGGTACTGTACAGTATGTGTGCCTTGACCCTTTTGTCTGTTGCTGACCAATACTTACCTTCGTTGCCCCCCCCCCCCCCCCCCCCCCCCTTTTTTTTTTTTTTTAATCTCAATTTATAGCGTTGCCCGGTCGGTGTCAGGGGCACTAAACGTGTATGGGCACACTGCCTTTCCCTGAATACCTGCACACCGGGCGGCACTGTACAATAAAAGTGCAATAAAAATACAAAAAAAAAAAAAATACAATGTTAGGCTAGAGCAAAAGAAAGGACGGTCGTAAACCTATGTTACTTCCTAGGCTGTTTAGGTAAGCATGTTCAATTCCTCTTGCCTGTTGTGAAAATTCCTGGCCACTGTGAATGTCTTAGAGGGATCCACAGTGGGACGTTAAAGGGTAACTCTGGTACATTTTCTCGATTTTAGGATTACAACAGTTTTTAGTAAAAAAAGTGTCCCTGAACTACAAAATGTCCTTTTTTTTTTGTTTGTTTTTTCTATGCCTTGTGTAGTTTTGTAGATAAGTATTCTATCTCAAAGGTTTGTTTTGAGAGTCCACAACGCAACCGAAACTACTGGCTCCAGCATGATGGCAGCCCTTGTGATCAGCTGCAGCAGCCAAGCAAGGACAAAATCACAGAGAGAGAGGTGAAGAAAGCAATAGTCATGAAACGCTTTTCCAACTTTTTCCTGTTTAGCTTTCCTCCTCAACTCATAAATCGCGCATTCTACCAAACAGTTCAAGAAGACGGAAAGGGGGTGTCCCCTCTTGCTGGGAATCTCGCTTGTGTAGCCGGACACAGCCATTGTCCCCCTAGAAGATTAGCCCGTCGTTCAAAGTCCAGACAATTTGCATTCCCCACCCCTTTCACCCCAAAGCTGACAGTGCTGTGGAAGCTGCGTGCTCGTTGGGCCCGGCCACACTTTTGCCACGTGATTAAGCTCTCTCGTGCATACCGACCCGCAGAGAATGGGATCAGGTGATGAAAGGGAGGCGCCTGATTGGTCCGGCGAGCACGTAGCTTCCACCACGATGTCAGCTTAGTGGTGAAGGGATTAAGCGAGGTCCGGTGCAGTGTCATGTGCGTTTGGGCCCGATGACGCGCTGCGGGTGCCCGGTGACGCGCTGCGGGGTCTGCGGATGTATCTCAGTGAAAAGGCAGAGAGCTTACGAAGGGAAGGAGGTACGAAATAGTCCGCTGTGTTTTCAAAATTTTCGTACCAAAAGTCAGGCTTCTGACTTTCTACCTTTGTTCTTTTGGCCCACTAAACGATGCCCTATTAGTGAAATCCCAATATAAATTGATTTATTCCAGTCCAAAATTCGTTTCATGGGCCCTTTAAAGGGGCCCTGCAATCTTATTTAAGCGTCTACCTTTTTTATGGTTTCCACATCTCTTGTGGTTCAGGCAACTTAGCGGACACGGAGAGAGTAACTGAATATCAGTGTGTCATGTTTTAACCGGGCGACGCGGAAGCCTCCTTCACCTAAAGGCGACCCCGTGGTACTGAACACGTGCGGCATGTGTTGACATTGTGATGTTGTCGGTCCTCGCCAGCTCCTCTCTTACGACTGGTCAGAGCCTCTAAGTTTATTTTTTATTCGAAATACGAAATATAAGTGGGGCGAATTGTTTAAATTATTTAGGAAAGTAGTTTTTGTTTAGTATTTTAGATCAGAAAAGAAACAAATGTAGTTTATAAAGTACGGAAACAAGAAATGATTCGTCGACATAACTTCCACCAAGCGGTGAAAAAGGCGGCACGTACTAGTAAGGGGCAGTGGGATCAGGCAACGCGCACCACGCATTGCTGTGAAGCGTCAAGCGTTGAAAGGTCCCGGATGTATGCTGTGGCGCTGCGGTCGTATTGGCTGGAGGATCCGACCGGTTCCGTGCGTTCTGAAGGCCTTCGGCAAGCCGATTTGGCTTGCGGTTTGGCCGTTTGGCGGTTCGGCAGTGTGAGACGGCTCCCGTTCTGAACTGATCTTTACCCCGTGTTTGCTTTTGTTTGTGGCCAATGAAGTGTCATGCCGAATTAGTGTTTACTCGCGCAGCAAATGTAATGTGAGCCGCCCTGGCCGCCCGCTTCATCCAGCCTATCTAGCACGTGGTTTAGCGGCGCCCTCTCGAGCCATCGACATGGAGTGCGGCAGCCGTGAATGCTCGCTGAGCTCACTACCACTCCTCTAGTTCACAGCCGCCCAAGGCAGAACCAGGTACATCATGAAGGCGGTTATTGTTTTCTTGTTTTTGTAATTTGAATTTGCCTATAACTTTTAAAATAAAGCGAAATTCGAGAAAAGAAAAGTTTCACTAATTCACTACATTCAGTGTGCTCAGGTTGATGCAAATTAAAAACCAGTCAAAAAGTGGTTGCAGGGCCCCTTTAAGAGAGTGGGAGGGACCACAGGTATGGGTGGAGTTCTAATGAGGCTGAAGAAGGAGCTTGGGCAGGAAACAAGAAGGATCCTAGAGGAGACCGTGAGCCAAGTAATTACTGAGAGAAGAGTTCCTGATCTGTGGTGTATGTCACGACTGCGCCTAACCTACAAAGGCAAGAGGACCAGGACA